AAAGAATCATCAACAGATACGTCAAGATCATATGAAGTATCAGGGTCGGTGGGAGCGGGACTTATGGCAGGACTTCCAGACGGCGACGTGCCCCAAACGTCAGCAGCAGATGCTACACTGGTGTTTGGTGTGTGTTGTGGTGAAGAAGTTGCTGTGGGCTTCGGAGATGCGCCAATCAACAGACTGCTGCCCTGGACGAAAGAGCCACTGGCGGAACGAGTGACTTTAGGAGAAATTTCGGCGTTGGTCATGATGACTGACGTGCTGAGAGACTTGAGAACTCCAGTGGGTGGGCTGTAGATCATAGGGCGAGGCAGTTCAGACTGACTACCTATGATATCCCCAGTGGAGGAATAAGTATCTTCCTGCTTGCTGCACGAGGCCAGCCCTGCCAAAATTTTTCTCTGGGAGCGCGGGGACTGCCATGGCGGACTCATCGGCGGGGATCTGAAAGGGCTTCCTAGGAGTTCTTGATTTTCCGTTATACGTTTATTGAATTTCTGAATTATGCTCCGGACTGTCGGGACGCCCTCGTTTGCTGCCTCCAGAACCTTCTTTTTGGATTCTATCGGCGGGCTGATCGGAGTAGGGGCGTGCAGGTGCGGGGACGCGATGGGGGAGCCGGACGGGCGCGGCGATGGAGTGAGGCTGTGCGGAGACCGCGGGCTCCTTCCATCTCTCAGCGCCGGTACAACGTCCAACGATTCCGCGGCGATGACGTCCATCTCCGAGTCCACCTCCTCGCTGGTAACTGCTTCTGACACTGTCTCACCCCCTCGTAACTGTGCTTCTGTGTTATCTTCCGTTTTTTCTTTCTTCTTCTCATCGATTTTCGCTTCTTTTTCACCATTGACGGTAACATCCGGAACGGCATTTGCACTCTTCTTCGCCCTCTGCTTGTCCTTGGCCTTTTCCGCAGGCTTCGTCTCATTTCTGTCTTCCTTGACCTGAGGCTTCGCGACGTCCTCCTGAGTGGGCGTCGCGCTGCTCTCCTTCGAGTCCTCCCTCGACCTGTGGCCGTTGCTCTCCGTCGGCGTGTCGGGCTGGCTCCTGGACCTCCGCCAGGGCACCGCCACGTCCTCCTCCTGGCTGTCGACGAAGGTGGGCGTGGCTCTGGCCTGGTCCGGGTTGCGCGTGCTGCCTTGCATGGTGAAGATGGTCCTCTTGGTGGGCACGAAGACGTCCGGAGACCTGTCGGAATGCGGGAGGTCGTCCAGCACCACCGAGGGAAGGGTTCTGGGGCGCCGCCAGTGCGACTCGTCGGCGTCCCGCGAGTTGGCTCGGCGGACGGAGGGGTTCCGGCTCAGCCTCCCCGCCGCCAGCGCCTCGTCGTCGTACACGGTTCTGCTGAAAGTGTTGGCGAAACACTCGTCCCGGTTGTTCTGGCCGAAGCTCTCGTACTCCACCTGCAGACATCGAAAACAGAGTGATAAGAGTTGGCAATGGCAGACGCAATTTGCGCATATGAACGCATCCATGGCTCAGTATTCAAATGATCCAGGTGAAAATAAATTAACGTCAAGAAAATAAATGCGGCCTGACCTGAGTATCAGAAATACGTCGCGTCTTTAGGTCCCTCCTGCCGTGCCGCGGTGCCGCGACGGTCACCTCCGTCTCGAAGCTCCTCCTCGTGTCCTCGGGTGCTTCTGTCCACACCTGAGGCTTGGGAGTCTCTCGGTCTTCCTTTTCGTCTTCTTCCTCCTCCTCCTCCTCGACAACTGCCTTCCATCTTCCTCGGGGCCGTCTTCTCTCCTCTGGGTTCTCCTCCTCCCACTCGAAGCTCGAAGAGAGGACGTAGTCTCCCGATCGCGTAGTCGAGGTGGTGGTCGTCCTCCAGGTACCCGCCAGGGAGATGCTCTCCTCTTCCTCTTCATCTATTCTGGGCGACGCCTGAAGGGGGAGGGGGCGCAAAAGACACACGAAATTATTTTGAAATGGGAATAAGTGACTGGGTGCTTGTGTGCCTATTTGCCTATAACGCACGGGAATTTAACTCTGGAACATGTTTCATAATTCCGAGGAAATATTCATAGAGAAAATAAAGAATAGTATTAACAACAACAAAGAATCGCGGACTCCGGACCTCGACGGATGGAGCGCTGGAGGCGATGCTGGGCGAGGGCGAGCGCGAGCGCGACGGCCCCGACGTGACGGTGGAGAGGCCGTCGGAGGAGCGCCGTCGAGGGCCCTCCCACGTCGACTCGTCCTCGTCATGGTGCTGTTTGCTCCTCAGGAGAAGTTCCCCGAAAGTGGCGCCGGAGGGAAGGAACACGCTGATGTCCGCGTCTTTGTGGTCGGACTTTTCCTTCCGTTGCCCCTCGTCTTCCTCTTCCTCGTCCTCGTCGTCTTCATCGTCCTCTTCTTCTCGACGCTTTCGCTGCCGATGAGAATCTCTCCTCACCGGCGTCCCCGAGGCTGACCTGCTGTGAGGAAGGAGCCTGTGAGTCATTTGTGAGTCTCTGAGTGCCGATGAACTACACTAAAATGAACGGATTTCCTATTTCCAGCATTGCAGGCAGTTAATATACCTGCGTAGCTTTATCGCCAAATAACCAAATTCGCTCATTCTCTCTATCCATCTCTCTCTCTCTCTCTCTTTCTCCCCCCCCCTCTCTCTCTCTCTCTCTCTCTCCTCTACCTCTCCCTCTTCTTCTCCCTCACCCTCTCTCTCAAGAATGAAAACGCAAGAGCCTTTCAACCCCCCAAAAAGACGAGACTTACCTCCGCTCTCTCTCGGTGCTCCTTCGACCACACCTCTCCTCCTGCCCAGCTGACCCTCGCCGCTTGGAGAGGGAGGTGGTGGAGGGCGACCTGCGGGAGCGGCTGGAGGGGGACCTGCCTGAGTGAGGCGACGGGGGAGTGCTGTCCTTCGGTAGCAATGCGATACTCTGGAACACCTCCTTCGCTTCGGCCACCAACTTGTCGTCGACGGGCTGGGAGGAAAATTAAGTCGTTTTCTAATTAATCGTTTGTAATAAGTTTATCGAAATTCAGTTTCTTAAAAAAACTATCGACGGATGGAGAACCTATTTTACGAATTCATCGTATTATGGGTTTCTTAATACATCTGTTCGCTATACGTTTTAGATTAGCTTATATCCTCTCTTCCACTCGCTTACCTTAGCTTCGTCTAGACTCTCAGGACCTATCGTCTCGGACGACACTGATTCGGGAGAAGTTGATTCTGTTGAAGAAAAATACAACGTAATCGGATTCGCAAAATAACACACATAGAGATCTTGTTAGTAGAAAAGGTATGAATGAGAATGAATATCTTGACGATACAAGAGATGCAGTTCTGACGAAGATATATTTGAAATCGGTCAAATATATTTGGAAGACTATATACTGCCATAAAACCATACAGAATCATACCCTACAATATTATACAAAATAGTATTTCTTGACAGATTTATCATAATAGTCTAATAAGTTATCACCTATAAAAAAAAAAAAAAAAAAAAAAAAAATATATATAAATATATATATATATATATATATATATATATATATATATATATATATATATATATATATATATATATATCGGCCGAGGTCCTCACCCCGATAACTCCACATCTTCATCATCTCGAGCCGGAGTTCCTTGGCCATTCGGCTCAATTCGGCGTTCATGGCCAGCAGGTCCTGAGGGTCGATGCTCGTGGTGGAGGCCGTGGGACCCCTGGAGGACCTCGGTGCTCCGTAGGACTCCAATCCTGCGCCGGATCCCGCTTCCCATATGCCGGAGTCCTGGGGAAAGGTTGGGTTATTTGAGCAACAATCCGCTTTGTGTTTTAGAGATAATTTAATTGATATTTTTAAAAGCACCTTGGTATATACGTCAAGAACGATACGATTCACGTAAAACGCGAGGTCACACGCACGCACGCACGCACACGCACACACGCACACACACACACACACACACACACACACACACACAACACGCACACACACACACACACACACCACACACACACACACACACACACACACACACACACACACGCACAAGACGAACACCCAGGACATACCTGCGGGGACTCAACAGAGGTAATCGCCTCGATAGACGACCACGTCCTGGCGGAGGAGTTCCTGTGGCTCCTCTGTGGCGCCCCTACGTCTCCTGCGAGTCTCAAGGAACTCCGGCCTCTCAGACTCCTTTGCCGGTGGCCGTGACCTCGGGGCTGCTGGGGGTCACTTCGGCGATCCAGGCCGTGCTTGGTCACCAGTGCTTGTTCGAGGCACTTGGCCTGAAGGAGTGAAAGAGGAAACAAACATTAAATTATCCTAAAACGCTATATTTTGCTTCCAAGCCTATCTCTCCAAACCGAATACCGTATTATATAGTATTTTCTTTCTCCAGTACACGGGCTTTGGTCAAGTCGGAGGGAATGTGACGTGAAATTATATGATTATAATAAAAAACAAAACAAAAAGAAAACGGAATAATGAATCATGACGAATCGACTCCGACCAGACTCCTTGTCAGACGATAAATCCGAGTAAGATTGTATTCAATTAATTCGAAACGTCTCGAAATACTTTTATCTATTCCTTAACAGGCAATATAAAAATAGTTGAATAAATCTCATTTACTATAAAATTCACCTAAAATCTAACTAACAGGCTTGCAATAATTATTGTTTGATAACTGATGGTATTTGATTATTAGCAGATCTGTGATGAATATCATTTGAAATACAATGATTACAATTTTAAATACATTGTACACAGTCAGTCATTTCCAGCCTCTAAAGATTACAGTCATCTCTCCAAAAATAGATAAATAAATTTGTAAATAAATAAATAAAAAAAATAAAAATAAAGAAAGTAAATATATATAGATAAATAAATTAAATTAAAGGTCACATCACCTGGAAGAGAAGGTCACCCGTCAGGTTATGCAACTTCTGGAGTTTCTTGGGCGGAGTCTTCTTGGCCTTCCGATGCTCTCGAGGTCGACCTTCGCGCCTCTCCTCCTCCACCGCCTTCTCCTTCTTCTCCGGCCTCTTCGTGGCTTCCTCCTTGGGTTCCTGCTCCTCCGGGAATACTTCGGCGGGAGGTTCCTCAAGGACGACCACGCTGAGAGAGAAATGAGGAAGGTGAGATGAGTTCGTCCTTTCAGCGGCCGTCATGATGGATGATGACGTCAGAGCATAAATGAGATGGATTATTTATTTACTTTTTTATTCATCTATTTATGTTATTTTTGTTGACTGTCTGGCAGTTACGTTGACTACTGATAATAGCAATATCACTGATAACAATTCAAACGATAATTATGGTAATAACAATGCGAAGAATAACAGCAATAACACCAAAATAGAACAACACCAGTCAAACATCATGAAAACCATATTTATAAAAAAAAAAACTAACATCACAGCCAATGATATCAACGAAAACCAAATCCATAATCCATCAACGCACTTGAACACCACTTAAGACCAAAAATAAGATAATAACAAATAAAGTCAACGATATCCACGAAAGCCAAACATGACCATCATCCACACGATATCAGAAAACCACTTTCATAATCCTTAGGCCATTATCCAACAAGACATCAGCACCCATAATCCTTAAGAAGATCGGAATGAAGTAATAACAAATTAGAAGCACTTAGAGAAGCAATAGTCAATAATGGAAAAAAAAAAAAAAATAATATACCATTATATATATATATATATATATATATATATATATATATATATATATAATATATATATATATATATATATATATATATAAATCTGTTCATAACAAACCAACGCTACAACAACAGGACCTCCCCAATAATGGAAAAAAAAAAAACATAATCCACGGGAACCACATATGGTCATTATCCACTAAGACATCAGAGCACCACCTCCATTATCCTTAAGATAAAAAATTAAACAATTACAAATAAAGTCAACCAAATCCACGAGAACCATACAAGACCATTATCCACCTTGACACCAGAACACCACTTGACACCACCTTGACACCACCTTAACACCACCTCCATTATCCATTATCCACTTTAACACCACTTCCATTATCCATTATCCACCTTAACACCACTTCCATTATCCACCTTAACACCACTTCCACTTACCATTATCCACCTTAACACCACTCCCATGATCCTTAAGGACCCGACATCATGACCCATACCTATCCTCCGAAGGCAAGCTGACGTCATCCGTCTGGCACTGCACCGTCTGGATGTTGACCTCCGCCCCGGCATCCTGCAGTTCCCGGATCCTCTGGACTAAGGACTCGGCGATCTCGGTCTCTTGTTCCTTGTGGAGTTTGAAGGCTCTCTGGGAAGGAAAAGGAGGGTGGGGTAATTTTGTATCGTTGTATTTATTAATCTATTTTTATTTATTTATTTTTCATTTATTTATCTATCTATTCTTATTTATTCATTTTTCACTTATTTATCTTTATTATTTTATCTATTTATTTTTATTTACCATTATTATTTTTGTAGGAGGGGATTTGCTTGTCTACGAGCAAAAATATTAATGCATACATGCGTACAACACACACATGCTAACCTATTTTCATCATTCAAACACAACTACACTTAGACACCATATTTCAGCAACTGGATGACTCCTCCACTTGCACCATCTACACCTCCTGTGCCGTCTACAGCATCTATATGCACCATCACCTTCACCACTACATTTTCCATCACCTTCACCATCTACACCACTTCCACTATCTCCATCACTTGCATCATCTTCATCACTTACACCATATCCACCATTCGCATCACTAGCATCACCTACACCATCTCCACCATTCGAATCACCAGCATCACCTGCACCATCTCGAACATCCCCACCATCTCCACCACTTGCATCATCTTCATCATCTCCACCATTCACACCATCATTCGCATCACCAGCACCATCCCCAACACTCCCACCTACACCATCTCACACACACACACCATCATTCGCATCATCTACACCATCTCCACCACCCAGTCCTCACCTCCAGCTGCACCTTCTCGTCCATGAGGTGTTCCCCGCGGATTTCCAGGTCAGCGATGCGTGACCTGAGCTGATTTATGAGGCGCTGGTTGGCCTCGGGGTCACCTGAGGTAGCGGCGGGGTCGACGTCCCCCTCCTCGCCGTCATGAGAGCTGCTGGGGTCCTTCATGATGATGGACACTTGGCGGTGGAGCTTCTCTGTGTTGGCGAAGAAAGAAAAATGTGATTGCGTTCTAGAAAGTGTGTGTAGATGTAAAAATTATTGGGTTCTATGAAATGTAAATATTAATGTAAAAATGATTGGATTCTATAAAATGTAAATATAAGTGTTTGGGTTATATAAAATATAATTGTAGATATAAAAATGAATATGTTCTATAAAGTATAAATATAGATTAAAATTATGGGGATCTATAAAATGTAAATATAAGTATATACATATATTTTTAGGCTCTATAAAATGTAAAGATAGATATATAAATTTTTGGGTTCTATAAAATGTAAATATGGATATATAAGTTTTTGGGTTTATAAAATGCAAATGTAGATTAAAAATGATTGGGTTCATTAAAATGTAAATATAGGTATATATATTTTTTAGGCTCAATAAGATGTAATGATAGATATATAAATTTTTGGGTTCTATAGAATGAAAATATAGACATATAAGATTTGGGTTCTATAAAATGTAAATGTAGATTCAAAATGATTGGGTTCTATAAATCTTAAATATAGGTATATAATTTTTTAGGTTCTATTAGATGTAAATATAGATATATATTTTTTTTCTATAAAATGTAAATATAGATATATAATTTTTGGTTTCTATGAAATATAAATATAAATATAACAAAACTGATGGAGATCTATACATTTTCAAGATAGATATAAAAATGATTGGGTTCTATAAAACGTAAATATGAATGTGAAAAAAATCTATCTATAAAATTTGAAGAGATATAAAAAATATTGGATTCTATAAAATGTAACTATAAATACAATAAAAATGATTGGGTGCAGTAACTAGAAAAAAATGAAAAAAACAACTTAATGAATATAATTGCTTTTAAAGAGAATTAATTTTTCAACATTGACTCGATACAGATATGAATACTACTCAAATCCCTCTCGAATCCCCCAAACTCCTCATCAAAAAGACGGCACCTCACACCATTCCAACTAAACACTAACAAATCCCCAAATAACAAAATCCGAGTAAGATTATATTATATTGATTCTAAACGTCTCGAAGTACTGTTATTTATTCTTTAACAAACAATATAACAATAGTTGAATAAATCTCATTTAGTATAAAATTCCTCTCACGAGACAATTTTTCCCCCATCCTCCTTACCGAGCGTCCTTAGGTGCTGGTCGGCCACGTTGTCCATCTTGGAGTCGATGTCCCCCATTTGATGCTCAAGGGCGCGGCACATATCCTCCTGCTGGCGGAGTTTGTCCAGGAGGCTCATATTCTCCCGTAGGAGTGAGCGGTACGACCCCTGAGTCCTTGCGCTGTCCGTCCGACGTAGGTTCGTCACCACGTCCTCGTCGTCGTCAGCGCGGTGCCGGCGGGTCACGTCCTCCTCGCTGAGAAAGGAAGGGGAGGGTGACACGTCGTCGGAGTGAAGGGCGAGAGTTTTTTTTGTGTTTCGTACAAAATCAGAGATGGTTTTCAATTTATTTTTTCTTTCTCTTTCGCTCCTGCTCTCTCTCACTCTCTCGCGCTCTTTTTCTCTCTTTTGCTCTCGCTTCCCTTCTTCTCTTTCTCTCTCTCCTCCTCCTTCTCTCAATCTCCTCTCCCTCCCGCACTCCACTCCCTTTTCCTCTCCCTCTCCTACTCCTCTCCCTTCTCCCTCTCCCTCCCCGCACTCCCACTCCCCTTTCCTCTCCCTCTCCCTCTCCTCATCCTCCAGTTTCTCCTCCTCCTCCTCTTGTTTCTCTTCACCCCCCTCGTCTTATTCCTCCCCCTCTCTTCTCCTCCTCCTTCTCCCTCTCCCTTCCCCTTCTCTCCCTCTCCCCCAGACCTACCTGCCGGAGGAGTCAATGTTCCTGGTGATTTCCGCAGGAGCGTAGGAGTTCCCTGGGTCGTGGAGGGCGTGGTGGCCATCCTCGACGACCTCCTCGAGTTGTACCAGAACCGCTACCTTGGGCGTCCCTGGTTCCGTACCTGCTAGAGTTGGTTCGCTTGCCGCCTTGTTCTCCGCTGCAAGAACGTCATAACCATTAACATTATCATTATCCACGTCATTATCATTATCATCACCATCGTCACTACTATTATCATTATTATCATCGTTATCATGATTGTCATCATTATCACCATTATCGTTGTCATCACCATCGCCATCACTATTATCGTTATCATCCTCATCATTATTATCATCATTATCGTTATCATCCTCATCGTCGTCGTCATTATCACCATCATCATCATCGTCAGTTTGTTTCGGGAAAGTGTGTGTGATCATGATGTAAATACTTCAACAGTTTTATTCAAAGGAAAATACTGTAGCTTTCTCTCTCTCTCTCTCTCTCTCTCTCTCTCTCTCTCTCGTCTCTCGTCATCTCTCTCACAACACAAACAAACAAAACACACACACACGACCCGTCCACAGAGATAACGAATAAACTAACCAAACACATACAGCATACACACTCCCTCGGTCCCCTGCATACACCTTGAAAAAAAAAAAAACATTTAAGTCATAAAACATCAGCTGTCGTTGCAATTCAAACCGCGAAGGCCAAAAACATTTCGAAGAACCGACGTCAATATTGCAAGCCAAGTGATTAAACATGCAGAGAGATGGATAAATTGATGAATAAGCCACTAACTGTGTAAGCGAATGATTGCATAATTGATGAAAAATGCAACGTCATCCCCAACGTTATTACATCATGCCAACTTCCGGTTATGTATATTTCATCTAAATATATTTTATGGATGTCTGGTCGTCTTGCAAGCGCCCATCAGTAATACTATTTTTTTCTTTTTTTTTTTTCGGGGGCATGCACGAGAGGTAATGTGCAGGGAAATAAAGATAAAAAATGCGTGCTGAATCACTACCCAATTTGCATATAATTATATTAAACATCTTGATTTTCGCAAATAGGTATTTCTGATTTATTTCCTTATCTTTTTCGGGATGGAAATCATGATGAATGAAACACATCCTTTAAAACGCTGCCACTGCCACGCGCGGACTTCCCCGGCGGGTACAATGCATGAGACCAGCAACACGTGATGCCTGGCTGCTACCTGTCATGCACCAGATCCATCATGAGACGTGCATCATTCTGTCATACTCGTGCCAACTCTTGTATGACATTCTCGCTGCCAGTCTTTCTGTTCTCTCTCTCTCTCTCTCTACGCCTTGGATACACTTCCGCTTCTCTATCTTCTGAGTACGCGTATATACCTCGCATACACACACACACACGCACATACACACACACCTTCCAGTACACGCGTGTGGCTCTCTGCCCGGTTCAGGTCCCTTGCCAACCCTTTCATCACACGCCCCTGTCAGCTCTGGCCGCCAACCGCCTCTGTCAAACAACCTATCACAGCCTCCTGCCAAGCTTCCCTCCGCACGCAGGGTCATCAACCGGGAAGCGGGGAGCAACGCACGCACGTTCACACAGACACGCATGCACGCACGCCAGTCGTACTAACACACACTCAGTCATTTACACGTATACACAAGCATATATGTGTACAAACATTTGCAAGGGCGGAAAGAAACTCGCCATCCTACCGCTTTATCCCACATCCCAAGGCTGTTCAGAAAGGTGAACTATATGGGACATAATGATGATATGTATGCATATATACATTTATATACATATATACTATATATATATATATATATATATATATTATATATATAATATATATATATATATATATATATTATGTGAGAAGTGTGGTTTGAGAGAGAGAGAGAGAGAGAGAGAGAGAGAGAGAGAGAGAGAGAGAGAGAGAAGAGAGAGAGAGAGAGAGAGAGAGAGAGTTTGTATGTGTGTACGTGTGTGAATGTCTGTCTGTCTGTCTGTATGTTTTATGCATGCATATGTGTCACACACATACACACACAAACACACACACATATACATATATATACACACATATATATACATATACATATATATATATATATATATTATATATATATATGTATATATATATATATATATATATATATATATAATATATACATATATATATATATATGTATATATAATGTATATATATATATGTATATATACATATGGATAATATACATATATGTATTGGTATGCATATTATATATATATATATATATATATATATATATGTGTGTGTGTGTGTGGTGTGTGTGTGTGTGTGTGTGTGTGTACACACACACACACACACACACACACACAACAATATACACACACACTACAACACACACACATTACACATATATATATATATATACATATTATATTATACATGTATAGTATAACTATATTATAATATATATATATATAATATATACATATGTATATATATACATATATATATATATATATATATACATATATATATATATATATATATATATATATATATATATATATATATATATATATATATATATATATATATATATATATATATATATATACTACCCAATACTAAATTCGGGCCTCCGCTCCGTCAGTCCTCTCACCGCCAGCAGCCACATGATCTCTTCCGCCCAACCACATATCCCCCGAGGTTCATTCACCAGCGGGTAGAATAACCAACCTAGCTTCCGCCTACACAACCAAAGTCCCAAGATTCGCCGTCTTTGGGAATCTAGTCAAGCCAAACTGGACGCAAAAAAAAAAAAGAAAAAGAAAAAAAGAAAGGAAAAAATGAACATCGTACGCCAGACAAGCACGTATTCATACAGTCATAAACGTACAGGCATACATAAGCGGTGTTTACATCCCTTCTCACGCCCTTTTGGAAGAATATGAGGGGAGAGAAATTCACCTTAATCATGTTTCCCCTTTCGCGAGGTATGTCTGCCATGTTAGCTATTTTTGGGGGGCACGCTCTTGCCATCTGGTCGTCCCCTCTTTATGACGTCTTGTAGCCAGACGGCCTACATTTACATTTGTCAGAGAGTGTTATTAAGGCGCAGGTTAATCTGATTGGGAGGATGGGATGGGCATCAGTACTTTATAGGTCGTGTGTGCGTCATTTCGTTTTATATATAAATATGTATGTGGAGGAAGTGTTTTTTTCTTAATGGGTGTCCATGTGCATTTTTCTTTCTTAGCTTATATTATAATTTATGGTTTCTTGACTACATTTTGGAAAAAAGGAAAAGAAATGCTGATGATATTATTCTAACTGTCTACTTAAAAAGAAACTCAAAATCTTGACCAATCCAAACGAAATGACAAGATTTAAACACCAGGGAAAAACTAAAATTTTCACTGGTACATCTCTGTCTCCCTCCCCCTCCATCCCTACCTCTATAAACCACCACCTATCTCCGCTTCTTTGGCCGGACACAACTAGAGGTAAGAGGAGGAAAAATGTTCAAATATCGCTCCCCATCACCTTTGTGTCCACCATGTCGAGGACTAACTCCAAAACACACAAATAGGTTGTGGACGCTGGCACCTCCGTCTCCGTGATCAGGTGACTCGCTTTCCCGCCGGCTTTTGTTTACTGGGCTGAGGGACTACATCTTTTGATTTGTATTAACAGACAGATAACAACAATATCAAACATAAAGATCAGAGGATGCAGTGGAACGGTAGCTCAACGTTATCCCCTACGAAATTTTGAATTGATTTAAACCAATAATAACCGTCAAAAAAGGTAATTACAATTTCCTTTCACTATCACCACCTCAAAGAGCAAACGCAATTAGACTCGAAATGCCAAATAAAAAAATCCCCACCACGTTCGCTTTGAAATTCGTTCGCGTGTCCCTTTATTTACGTTTTAGGCAATCAGCTGACGAAGAAGAACCTTACCTTGAAGACCGGTTTCCTCTGCCTCGATCTCATTTAGGGAGAGACTCGAAGGGTGGGAGTGCACGGGGGGCGTCACCAGGTCAGCTGCTAGCGAGGACTCGGACTTCCTCCTGCTGGTGTGGAAGAAGAGGGTTGGTTAGTGTGGTGGAGGTGGACAGGAAGATGACAGAAAGAAGGGATGGAATAAATGAAGGAAGGAAGGAAGGGGGGAGGGGAGGGAAGGGAAAGGAAAGGAATGGGGAGAAAGGAGAGAGAGAGAGAGAGAGAGAGAGAGAGAGAGAGAGAGAGAGAGAGAGAGAGAGAGAGAGAGAGAGAGAGAGAGAGAGAGAGAGAGAGAGAGAGAGAGAGAGAGAGAGAGAGAGAGAGAGAGAATGTCGAGATAGGAAGAGAGGGTGGAGAAAGAAGGGGGGGAGGGTAAAAAAAGAGAGAGAGAATCAAAACAAATAAAAACATCAACAAGGATGATATGATGATGTAGGATGATCATGATGTTAATGATATAATAATAAATAATAACAACATAATCATAGAACAAGCTATATTTGTTCATTCAAATTTCGATACTAGTCTCATGTTTCAGTATTCTACCACTTAATAAACACGCAGTGACTTCCGACATTCAGCATCTATTGACAAACAGCCTGGCAGGCTACGCGATGACACAAGCCTTGGCAGGACGGAAGCATGACTCAGACGAGAAAATCAGATAAATGATTATCGGACATGTAATCGAGACAAGGTTCTAATTTTCGATCGATTCGAACAGTCGTCACTGATAGTTCGGACAATCTCCTTTTACAATTCGGACAATCACCTCTGGCAATACGGACAATTGTCGCTGGCAATTTGGACAACCACCGCGGACAATTCGAACCATCGCCATTGATAATTCGGACAATCTCCTCTGGCAATTCGGACAATCGTCGCTGGCAATTCGCCGCGGACAATTCGGGCCATTGACAACGCAATCGTCACTGACAATTCGACAATTCGAACACATTCGACAACGAATTCAACTGACAAACGCGGAGAGGAGAATGGCTCAAGTGTTGGCAGCGAACCAGAGGAGATTCGAACTTGGATTCACTTCGAGAAAAAGTATTGTGTCGCAATTTTCAATGGTTATGATTTTATTATTACTATTATTGTTATTATCATTATAATTATTATTAGTAGTAGTCGTAGTATCAGTAGTAACAGTTGTGATTAAAATTTATTTTGTGTTATTAGTTATTATCACAATTATCTGTTATTCATATATTATATTGCTATACTATTATATTATATGTATTATTATTATAATTATTATATCATCTTTATTATTATGACCATTTTTTTATTATCATTATTAACTATCATTATTTACCTTTATTATATTATCATATACTACTATCATCGCTTATGACTATTAATATCATACATTAACATTATCACTATTATCAACAATATTAGATACATTTGAATGACCAATCCAATGGCGATATGAAGACCGAAATTCCCCACGAAAAAAATTGGACCATAAATCCTCAAATTTCGGATTACGCTCTCCCGACCCCGCCCTCGGCCCCCTTTACCCGAAGCTCACCTCACGAGCCTCCCAACCTCCGGGCTCTTGGGCTTCTCCGGGACCTTCTTCTCGGGCACCACGTAGTTCGGACTCGAGGATCCGCCGGGGACGGTCGTTCTTCTGAAACGTCTTGGTGAACGTCTGCTGCCTCGAACCGGAACTCTCCCGTCGAGGTCTTGATGTAGATCTCCTTCTTCTCCGTCGGGCCGCGGCCCATGGCCTGCCGCATCCTCTCGAGCCTGCGAAGGAGAGGGGAGAGAAAATGGGATTATTATTATTTTTATTATTATTTTTTTTACTTCTCTCTCCGAGAAGAAGGAATATAAAAATGGGATTCCTCCAGAGAAAAGAAGGGAATAGAAAATGGGATTCTTTTTTTTTTATCTCCAGCCTACGAAAAGAAGGGAATATAAAATGGGATTTTTTTTATTCTCTCCAGTTTACGAAGGAAAAAGAAATGGAAAATGGATTTGTTTTCTTTACTCTCTAGCTACTTACGACAAGAAAGGGATAGAAAATGGGATTGTTTTATTCTCTCTAGCCTACGAAAAGAAGGGGATACATATGGGATTTTTTTTTATTTCTTATTCTTTTATTGTTTTTCTGGTTTAGAGTCGGAAGTGAGGTTTTTGGTTTTATTATTCTATCAATATTACCTCTAATTTTGGGGAAAATTTTCCATCCTCTCCAAACCAAAAAAAGAAGTAAAACCTTATGAATGATAAACCTAATCTAAATGTATACAAAAGAGTATATAAATGCCTTTCCAACCAAACTATTATAAAACGAAATGTGACCTCTACCTGGCTGCTCTCTCCAGGAATTTTTCCTTTTCTCTCTCCAGCCTCTGGGTCTCGCGTTCGACTTTGTGCAGCTCCTTCTCCAGCCACTGCAGCTCCTTGTCTCTCGCCTTGTGGCTGCTCTCCGCCTTGCTCTGGTGGGGAGGAATTGGTTAGATATTATAATCTACGCTCTCACTTTTATTGATTTAGCACATTTGACTGAGTAACGCTGCCCACTCACCTACAGGAACGAATTCTGATAACTTACCACGGGTACTTTGTCTGTCTTGGCCGCCTTGCTCTTCTTGATTTTGTGACCTGATCCCTTCCTGTCTAGTCGCGGGCTCGCGGGACCTTGACCTGGAATGAGAGGCGCCTTGGCCACCTGCGACGCGGACGGCGACGGTTTCACGTGCATTTGGCCCGCCAAGGCTGACCCTTTACCTCCTAGGTTACCCGCGGAGGCCGAGGTCTTGACCTGAGGGTGACCTGGCTTCACTTGGCCCTGCTGACTGGCGGAGGCTTTGATCCTCTCCCACTCCGCCATCTTGCGGTTGAATTCCTCGCCGAGGTTCTTCTGCAGTTCCTCGACGTTCTGCTGGCTCTTGCCCACCAAGGCCTTGCGGATCTCCCACTCCGTGAGCTTCTTCTTGAAGTCGGCTGGGAGGTCGTCCTCGCCGTGCTTCTTGGTCTTGACGTCCTCCTGGCCTCGAGGGACGTCGATCTTCCCCTGTGTGGCAAAAGGGGCAGGGTTAGAATGCTGTTTAAATATATATACACATAACAGATGGTCATATAGATATAAGAAACAAAAAGATTCTTCCAAAGTGTCCTCTTTCAGCGCACCTTCTCCTTCTCCCTCTCCTTCATCTTCTCCCACTCGTGCAGCTTCTTGCGGAATTCGTAAGGGAGGTTATCCTCGGGGTGTGATCCAGACGCCCCTGACCCTGAGGGCGAGGACGGGGCGCCTGCGAGACCCGGGTGGTGAAGGCCCTGCCCGGGTCCTCCGCTCTTCAGTCTCTCCCACTCCTGAAGGCGCCGGTTGAACTCCCCGCTCAGGCTCTTCTGGAGGTCGGCTAGGTTGCGCTGGACCTGGGTGGCGGGGGGGAAATGTAATGTAAGTTGATTCTAATGTTTCGTAAAGGATTTTTTCTAAATGATAAAAAATACTGACGCGGCCATGTCTTAAATATTTTTTGATTGAATAATAAGTTTTTACTAAAATCGGATCGGATCCACAAAAAGGATCAGTAGTATAAACAAAGATTAACAATTAAAGAATTTTAAGTCCCTCATTTACGACGCCAAAAAAGAAAAGAAAAAAAATCACACCTTTAAGAGTCACAGAGACGAGGTGGACCACAAAGGGATAAAATATTGCTCTTAATGGCAAGCGAAGTTAATAAATCGTGTTCTGTGTGGCAGTACTTTCTCTCTCTTCTTGCGTAGTCAGCTGAGGTTTTTAGCTTGGTCACCTGTTCGACAGGTTAATTGATTTTGGCTGTTCATTGATTTGCAAAGAATGCTTATTGTGCATGTGTCCATTTTGGTAAAGACTCGATGAAAAAATATTAATTGTTTATACCAAGATGATCTGCAGCAGCGGAATTCTCTCCTCATCTCGTTTTCATAAAAGTTTTCCATTAATCTTTAAAATTATTATTCTAACTTATCCCTCTCACAAAACTGACAAAGATGACGCCAAACACTGCAAAACCACCAGCCAAGATGCAAGAACAACAGCAGAGAAGATCTCAACTTTCCTCCCGTTCCCAGCGACACCGAAGCGAAACCACCCCACGGAACGCGGCCCCAAACCCCATCCTGTGGTAAGACCGACGCCGTGGACTCTTACCCGACTGCTGGTGGTGGTGCTGCGTGGACGGAGGCTGCGGGGAAGGCGTCGGGTGCGGCTGCGGCGAAGGAGTGGCTGTGCTGATGCTTGGGACGCTGAGGTCTTCGGGGGAGAGCTCGAGGGACGCCCCTGCGGAGTCAGAGTCCTCGAGGATAGAGGTTTCCACACCTGCAGGAGGGACATGAAGGGTGGGGTGAATCCTACCACTCCATTAGAGTCTTTTTCCTCTCTTTCCCTCTCGCCAAACTCCACTATTTCGTTAGACAATCACACCGTTACTATTTTCCTCACGGGACAT